AAAAACTCAGTAATTAGCTTTTAGAAAGACACACATTCTCATCTATAGATGCAGAAACATAAATCAGTTCACAGCTACACAGTCTGATTGAAACTGACCTGGAGAACACTTTGGCCAAAGACTCACATACACACACAAACACTGCAGGAGGATCAGTGAATCTGTGGATGGTGGAAGGAAAGATGACAAATACCTCATCAGTCCTTTGGTCACATAAGTCTCAACTTTACTAATGAATGTTTCCAGCCACTGCATCTGTCAAAGCTAACAAGTCTCAGTTATGATGCTAGTGCCAGCCAGTATAACCAGCATGGTAAGGTGCTGTCCAGTGGAGTGTTTTCTAAAACCACCCAGTGGGCAAAATGAGGCCTTTTTGTCACAGTCATGCAGTTTGAACTCAGCAGGAGAAGTGTGTGTGTGTGTGTTCCTGTCTAGCTATCTTTGTGAGGACCGAAATCTGCATTCTGCTATACTTGTGAGAACCAGCAGTCACTTGTGAGGACACACTCACGGTCCTCACGAGTTTGAAGCATTTTTAAGGCTCAAAATGTGATTTTAGGGTCAGGGTTACAACTAGGGGCAATGAAGGTCCTCACTAAGATAGCTGAATGGGCTTGTGTGTGTGTGTGTGTGTGTGTGTGTGTGTGTGTGTGTGTGTGTGTGTGTGTGTGTGTGTGTGCAAACTCTAGAGATGAAGCCAGACATTTCTGAATCTCTGAATCTGCTGAGTGTTTTCAGACTCTGTCAGGTTTCAGGTTTTGAGTCCAGACAGAAAAGTTGATTTCACGTGTTTACGGGGAAGTTGATGAAAGGCCCTTTTTTTAATTCAGCAGATGATCTTATCTGCCATGTTCTCTCCATCAGCCAAACACGACGGTGTTTGCCTGCATATAAACAAGATATCAGTATTCTGGGGCAGGGGAATTTCACACATACTTTCCAACATCCGTCTCCACAGCAAATATCAAGGCGATGTCATAAAATGACAGCCGTAAGGCAAAGCTCCTACATGCAGAGTCAGTCTAAAGTCAGCCAGTCTAACACTATTTAGGGTGTAGCGAAAAGAGATTCTCAGAATTTTGAAAGTGAGAATAGCAGCATCGGTTGTAAAGGTCTTGTCAAGTCGAAGCAGGACGGCTTTTTTTGCTCTGCACAGGTGAAGAAAGGTACGAGCGAGGCTGGCGGATGTGTGCCGAATCGAATGACACAACCGGGCAGACCGAGAATAAATGGGGCGGTGCGGCGGGTGTAATGGCGGCTTTGAGAGGAGGTGAAGAAATGAGACAAAGTGCTCACAGTTGTGACATGTCGCTCCAGCGTAACCCGTCCCCGAGCAGTCACAGGAGAAAGAGCTCCACATCTGAGAACAGCGCGCTCCGTGTTCGCACAGGTTAGGAAGGCATCTGCAAAGGAAAGCACAGTTTAGGAATCCACTCATTTACTCAGTGATTGTACCTGATATATGGACATTTGGATCACTTTATTTTCACAGTTTGAACCTTTGATCCAGCACGACGACATTTCGATCCACTGTATGTTGTTGGGTTGACTCTCTCGACTTTACATGAAAAGTCCTAATGTGCACACGCTGTTCACCAACAGCACCAACGTTTCACAGTCCGGGGACTCATCAGACCATGCACATGAACGAACGGTGAACCCACCTGAGAAAATTTAAACTCTACTCTCTCAATTTATTTCTACTAATAATAAATAATGATTTTCCTCTTCCTTTCATTCACTTCTCATTGGTACACGGGGATCGGCCCGGCCAGTCTCCTTCGAGGCCTTCCCCTGTACACGGTCCTTCATCCATCATCGCTCATCATAACTGAGCTCGTGAAATAAAACTTAAAGGAAGTTCTTCCTTCCCACTGACACCAAGTGCTTCCCCATCAACGATCATCTATTGCTGCAGATTTTCTCTCTAATATTGTATATAAAGCAC